ACACACACACACACACACACACACACACACACACACACACACACACAAAACCCACAACTGGTACCTTTCTCAGTGAAGGAAAGGATGAGAGGAATGAGTTCTTGTCTGTCAATCTGACAACTTGGGTTCAAATCCCACCTCCTCAATGTGGTCAAACATTGAACAAGCTGAAGAAATAACGTGCTTTAAAAAACATATTAAATTATTATCCATACTGATTACATCAGTATTTCATCTTCCATCATTTTAACTCTCTTGGTTACTTCATGGGCAGCACGGTGGCGCAACTGGTAGAGCTGCTGCCTCTCAGCGAACAGGTCCCTGGTTCAAACCCCGGTCCAGGGGCCTTTCTGGGTGGAGTTTGCATGTTCTCTCCGTGCATGCGTGGGTTTTCTCCGGGTGCTCCAGTTTCCTCCCACAGACCAAAAACATGCATGTTAGGCTGAGTGGTAACTCTAAATTGTCCCTAGGTGTGAGTGAGAGAGTGAATGGTTGTTTGTCTCATTTGTCTCTATGTGTCCCTGTGATGGACTTGCGACCCGTCCAGGGTGTACCCCGCCCCTCGCACAGTGATTGCTGGACATGGGCACCAGCGACCCCCGTGACCCAAAATGGAATAAACGGGTAAAGATAATGGATGGATGGATGGATTTGACTTTTCGTGATGGGTCATCTGAAGCTCTGGGGCATGTATAAAAAACAACAGTGTTTCTGAAGCTCTGTGTCGGAGCTTGACTCGTTTGGCAAAAGTCATGTGATCAATGACAACCGAAGTTTCAAAACTGCCAAAGTGACACTGCTTTGATACCTGGTTCAAAGGATTATGAGGAAGTAATTCATTGGACAGATTTGTAGTGGGTTTTAATGGTAAAATTTGCACAAAATATAACAAACCAGCAAGCGGCATACAGCGAGACTTAGAGCCAGTCTGATGTGTTTTATATGTTTAGTTTAACAGTTCATAGCACTTAAACCCCAAGAAAGAAAGAAAGGAAAATTCAAAAACAACAATATATGTAAATAAATTACCAATCTGATTTCAGGGTAAACATAAACTGGTTCATAACATGAAGTCATGGAGGCAGGAAACCTGCAGCACAAGCGTAAACTGGTTTTTTTTTTTACAAATGTCAAGAAGTCACAAGCAAGGGTGCTTCATGCCTTGACACATTTTAAACAAGTTTATTCATTGTTATTTATTCATTAAAAACATTATTATTTCACCCACACACAAAAAAAATGTTCAAAGCATCGCAATGTGCCTGATATCAGACAAAAACGTCTCAAGTTTTAAATCAACAGCTGTCAGCTCAGACAGTTGGACAAAAAGGATGTAACGCCTCATTTCATGATGGTTTCAAGTGGAGCTTTATACTTTTGGCCACAAGGTGGCGCCAAAACAATTGTGTAGCAAAGCTTCAAGTAATGAACCTTTTTTAAAAACAAGCTTCAGTGCTTCATCCATCCATCCATCCATCCATCCATTATCTTTACCCGTTTATTCCATTTTGGGTCACGGGGGTCGCTGGTGCCCATGTCCAGCAATCACTGTGCGAGGGGCGGGGTACACCCTGGACGGGTCGCAAGTCCATCACAGGGACACATAGAGACAAACGAGACAAACAAACATTCACTCTCTCACTCACACCTAGGGACAATTTAGAGTTACCAATCAGCCTAACATGCATGTTTTTGGTCTGTGGGAGGAAACCGGAGCACCCGGAGAAAACCCACGCATGCACGGAGAGAACACGCAAACTCCACCCAGAAAGGCCCCTGGACCGGGGTTTGAACCAAGGACCTGCTCGCTGAGAGGCAGCAGCTCTA